AATATTCCCATCAAAATTCGGGGGTGGAGATAGGCAGATAGTAGGTGCCTTATGTACTATAGGTGGAGGTAAATTAGGCGGAGGAGTCTCAGACTGTAGGTGCGCTGTACGCGTATGAAGTGTACTGCAAGCCTGGGCAAATTGATCCATATGATGATCATTCTCCTCTGGCTTTCTCTCGCAAGCAGCTATGTGCTGACACAATTCTGCAGGATCTATGGCCTTAGGATGGCCAGACTTAACGCATCCAAGAATAGTCAGAATACTAGCTGAGGTCAGGGATACAGAATCAGACACAACGATGAGAAAAAGCCAAAAGTCAAGGATACTAGAAATTAGGGAAGTCAGAACGAAGCCAAAGTCAAATACCAAAATATTAAGATCAGGAACGCACTCTTGTATTATCAGGCAGAAACAACGCCAGGGCAATGAGCAGAAGGAATAGGTTACCTTAAATACCCCTCTTGTGGATCCAATTGACCGAACCCGGCCTTTGACCCCAGAACATGCGTGTGTGTCCTTTACGTGATGTCACGCGCACGTTGACATTTTCCATGTCATGGGCGGACGTGGGGCTATAAGTTAATGTGGATCTGCAGCGGTCGGCATCCATCAATATGCTGCAGGTGTCAGACACATTGATGCATGGCCGCTGAACTGCACTACCGCATTTATTGATGTCGAAAGGTGAGGATGAACATGTGACACTGTGACCTATTACTACTGATACAGGCTCCCTCACTGGTCTGTTTACCTCCCTGTGGCAAAAGCCACTTTGCCACTGGTTTTTGGAGAGGACTCATGGCCAGCCTTTTACCTTGGGATTATGGTCCCTGTGGCTTATTTGGTTGTAAGGCACTATTTCTGCCTCTTTAAATACTCTTGGAACAGATTTACACTTTCAAAGTGCCAATTCGGAAACAGTCGAAGTAGTCGAAGTGGCTGCCATTCGACATTCGAACACGTGGTGGTGGCCATTTTATTTAGTCGGAAGAGGTAAGCGGTGTTTTGTCGTCGAGTTCATGGAACTCAAATTGGACATGCGATGGCACGAACACCGCTGGAACTTTACCTTCTCTGGACTTTGACTCTTCAACTGGAGTCGAACACAGTTCGACAATTCGAACGGCACTGTGACGAGACCAATCTCGCCACATTGCATTGGAGAAGCCTGGTTGCTCACCTGTTACCTTTGGACTATGGCCCCATGTTGAAACGCTTGCTTTTCCCCTGCGAAGGGACGAAAGCCGGGTCATTCGGTGCTTGCCCTGTTTGAGCGGTGATACCCCAGATAGCTATGCCATGGAGCCCATTCGTATAATGAAAGACTGTGGGAAAGACTTTGGCTCCAAGGCAATTGAACTGTATGTATGTGCTCTGAGCGCCATTCAGTAATAATGTGTGCTCAGATCTGAGCTATCTGGGGATATGTTGAATGTACCTGTTTGGTGCAATGGCTGCACAGTTATATGTTTTTATGTGTTTTATTGTCTTTTGATGCCATGTGTTCAATGGAGTTTTGCCTCTGTCCTTGAAGATAATTGGATTACTTCCCAATTATCTCCAGGATAGAAGACTCTGTGGAACTGGTTTTGGGCAGAAAAGCCATGCTTCCTTTGGTCACAAAGGACTACGATCTATCTTTTGAACCACTGGACCAATTTGGATAATTTTGACATATGTTTGTATTTGGAGTATGCTGATTCTGAAAATGTGAATGTGATGCATACTTTTCAAGTGATGAATAGGTAAAGAGGCGGCTAGCCAGGTATGGCCCAGATACTCTGGAAGAGTCTATCACAGCAACCATGTGAGAGTGTGATGAGGAGAAACGAGCGGCCCAGTGCTTCAAGCTCAGGCACTGAGGAGGCACAAGAACAAAAGTCCTACACAGGGGGCCAACGGTGTCGGCCTTCCCCCCTAGTGGCAGTTTACCTTGCAGGGAGAAGAAACAACCGGTCTCTCTCCCCAGCGGCAGTGTGCATCCCATGGGGCCGAAGGTGTCGTCCTTCCCCCTCAGCGGCAATTTTTCTTGCAGGGAGAGGAGACAACTGGTCTCTCTTCCCAGTGGCAGTATGAATCCCAGGGGGCTGAAGGTGTAGTCCTTCCCCCCACCCCCCCGGTGGCAATTTTCCCTTGCAGGGAGAGGAAACAACCGGTCTCTCTCCCCAGCAGCAGCGTGCATCCCAGGGGGCCGAATTACACAAATAGTGATGTACCGAACGGTTCGCTGGCGAACGGTTCCCGGCGAACATAGCATGTTCGCGTTCGCCACGGCGGGCGAACATATGCGCGGTTCGACCCGCCCCCTATTCGTCATCATTGAGTAAACTTTGACCCTGTACCTCACAGTCAGCAGACACATTCCAGCCAATTAGCAGCATTCTCCCTATAGCAGACCCTCCCACCTCCTGGAAGGCATCCATTTTAGATTCATTCTCAAGCTGCATGCTTAGTACAGGAGGGAAAAGCGGTGGAAGCTGCTTAGTTCACAGATAGGGAAAAGTATACTAGGTTAGGATAAGGTATGCTTTTTTTTGATTTTTTTTTCTATGTAATGTAATTGCACTTAGTTGTCTGCCACTGCTGCCAGCTTCTGTGTCAGGCTCACAGTGCATAATGTGCCCATTTCCCCAGTCAGTGCCACCACTTATATCTGGTGTCACAATAGCTTGGATTTAAAACAAAAAACTTTTTTCACTGTTATAGATTGAATAGCAGTCAGTTGTCTGCCACTGCTGCCAGCTTTTGTGTCAGGCTCACAGTGCATACTGTGCCCATT